AGATGCTGCGGAGATCAGGAGCTCAGTGGCATAAGAGAATCAGCAGGAGGTGGTGAAGCAGTCTCTGGGGACAGAAAGCCAGGGTTATCCCCCAAGCTCGCTCTCCCTTAGCATCGGAGTGTGGCTGTCATGTAGGTTTTGGGGGTCTCAGTTTCCTTATCTCCTGAACTGAGCCAGTAACAATTGCCCTGACACATGCCTGGGGTGCAGCTCGGACCAAGGTCATATAGTAAATGGATGCAGCTGTTATCATTGATGGCAGTTTGCTACGGTTCCCCGAGTTGAAGGCACAGAGAGGAAATTCCTTGGTGGCCGAGTGCTGACTGTGCTAAGTGACACAGGCAGAAAAAATGTGTGGTAGGTGGTGATTTCTTCAATAATCCCTACACATTTGATGCCGCATAGTAAATTTCCTTTCCGAGCAGAACTAAACCTTGAATGTCCAACCCAGAGGTAGATATCTCAGAACCCTGTTTAATGCTGCCCAGTGCACGAGGATTTGCTTGCATGCGTGCCCCGTGCAGAGACACATCCGCCAGTTGGTCTGCCCAGCTTGCAGAGGCCTCTCCAGCCTGGTCGGTGCTGCCCCAGTTTCCTTATTGGCAGCCTGTTTTTTTTTCAGTGTCTGGTAAATAGTTTGTGAAGGGGACCTGGCGGTTCACACCAGCCACAGATGTGCCTGGCGGCTACAGTCACATTCTGTCCTGTTCTGGGTTTGCATCCAGCACCTCGAGCCTTAAGGTGGAGAGACTGTGTATGGCAGTGGGCAGTGGGGGTGTGAAGTGCCCAGGAGTCCTGCCTTTTCAGCGGGCAGTGTAGGAGCTGTGAAGGAAAGAATTTTCTCCTCACTTTTTTATACTTTCTCCCATGGAGAGGAATAATTTAGTTTTCTGCTACCAAATCTTTTTCTTGTGGTTTGTTCTAGATGGACTTGTCAAAGTTATGTCTTTGTTAAAAACAGAAATAAAACCAACTGTGTGCAAATTTGAGAGTTGAACTAAACCTAATAATTTCAGGACTATTTGCCAAAATTTGGAAGTGTCAGGCAAGTTTTTGTAATTAGTAATAATAACCTTTCTCTGAATTAGAGATATTTTTCTGTTACCCCCAGGAATAACAGTAATAAGACTAGTAAATAAGACTAGTAAATAGTCTAGTAATAAGACTAATAAAACCCAAGTGTTTCTAAAAGTCAGAGTGTTTGATGCTGCACAGGGGCCTTAGTGTTGATAAGGCAGACGCCCTATGGGGTGGCATGACCTGGTTAGAAATATCTCGCCATCTCAGTGTCTGAAGTCACCCCTTTGGGAAGCGGGCGGGGAAGGTGAGGCGCTATTAGACAAATGCTTGAGCAGATTAAGACACTACTTGAAGAGACCATAGACTGGGTGTGTGTTAATGATGAAGGAAAAAACTGACCCTGAGCATTATGGAATTGACTAGAGTTCCTCAGTTACCATGGCAGTGCGAGGTGTGTGTGCCGGGAAGAGGAAAAGAGCAAACCGTGTTTCCTTCATTAATTCAGTGTTTGAATAAAGCATGTATGCAAAGGGCATGGTATCCTATCCTCCAAAATCTCACTGTAGGGGGGCACCTGAAGGTAAACAGGTCATTTTCATTTTCTGTAAGGCGTCCCCTGGGAGAGTACAGCACTCACAGCAGCCACCAGGGGGGCGCCAGATGAACGCATCAGTTTCCCGGAGGCGGTGAATTCCCAACTTGGCATTTTTGTTACGGGGCAGAGAGGAGTAGCTCAGTGCCCCGTCACCTCAAGAGGGGTCGCAGTGACTTCAGCAGCTATGACAGTGTTGGGCAGAGGTTAGACTCAGGCCCTGCAGGGCTCAGCCAGCTGCGTTAGGAATTGAAGTGTGTCCTTAGAGCCCTGGACACAATGCTTCCTCTAGAACCTTCTGAGGAGAGGCAGCAAAGAGGGGTGTTGAGAATTGTGGACCCTATGCCTCAGCTTCCTTATCTGTAAAATGGGATACTAATAAAACAGCCTTTTCTCAGGTTGTTGAAAGAATTGAACAAGTTAAGCCACATCAGGCACTTAGAAAACTACCTAGAGCAGACTAAGCATCCACTAAATAGCCCCTGTTCCATGGAATTAGGACAGGTTTTAACCTAATGACTGGATTCGACGTGTGCTGTGAAGCAATTGCTCTTCCTTCAGAGAGGGAAGTGGGTTTACAGTTCCTCCAGCCATGGAAGGCTCTTCAGCGTGGTGTGTTGGACATGTGTGCTCATCACTAGGAAGTGGCCAGATGGGCTTCTGAGAAAGCCTGAGAGTAGAGTTTGGGAATGTAAACACTGAAGAGAACTTGAGCCTTAACACAGCAGGAGGTGAAGCTGGGAGAGGTCAGGTTTCCTTTTCTTTTAATTTTTTTTTTTTTAGATTTATTTATTTATTTGTACAAGCACTGGGTACAGTCAGAAGCACGGGAGGGTGAGAGAATTCACCAGAGCCAGAGTGGGGAGCAGAACAGGCAGACACGAAATACACTGCTAAAGGGAGCAGCTGGCGGCAGGAGAGGTCTGCATGCCATGTGGGACCCTCACCGGCGGCCGGGGTTGAACCAGTGCTGCAGAGGCTGCGGGCAGCTTCGCAGCCCAGCGCTCAACCACCCGAGGTTTCCTTTTCTAAGCCTCACAGCTTGTAGGTGGCAGAGTTGGTAACAGGATTGGGCCCTTCACCATTCTCAGCTCTTTTGGGTCTTTCTGCTCCCTGAGTACCTTGAGGGAGTGATTTTACAATGATGGAGGAGTATTCCTTAGGCCCTTTACTCTGTGGCAGGTCTCATTCGAGCTACCATGGAACTCTGTGCCCTGCATTTAAATAACCTTCCCCAGCACTGCCCCCAGGGTTCAAAGATTTTAGTTGCTTTTGTTTTCAGTGCTGCTTTCCAAAGGGTGAGAGAAAGGCTCTTTGAATTGAGAATATTCTATCTTTTTTTCCCAGTTTCTCACCAAATCCCTTAAGTAAAATGAAAAACAAACTACCCTCTTGAGGGCTTGGAGAAACCTGGGGCATGTTTGGAGTTTGAGAGCACCCCATAACACAGCCTCTTAAGAGCTGGTTCAAGAGTCGTGTTTTTCACTGTGGAAAATGGGAATCAATTTTGATACAACTTCCAATCAAGGAAATTAGAGCGAGGGAAGCTTTTAGGGCCTCTGGTTCTTCTCTCCCCACTGATGCATTGTTCCCCAGACTTCACAAATTGCTTCACGCAGTTGGGTGGTGGAATCCTGGCTCGTCGCCAGCATTGTATTCCACGCCTTTGAACAGGTGATTTTATCCCGTCCCTGACCCACCTGTGAAGGGAAAGAGCTCTTTGTTGGGCTGTGACACAGAGCGGTCCAGAGACTTCAACTCAGAGGCTTGAACTCAAAATAGTCCTTGTTACTTTCTGCTCTTCACAGCCTGATTGGGTGAAAGCGAGGCTGTTTTTCATGTGGGGTTCCTGGGGCTCCTAACACATACTTATATATGTGACGCAACATTCACTGTCTGCTGCTGGCGTTCTCTCATCGCTGACCTGGAGAGCGCGGCGGGAGGACTGCTGGGGCAGTTAGTTGGCTGAGCAGAGGAGACGGGAGCAATTGTCATCTCTAGAACCAAGCACACTGCCGGCTGAGGGGCAGGGTTGGCATGCGGCCAGGGGCAGTGGACTTTGTCTTGTCCCTTAATTATTACTGCTTGATTTGCACTTTCCTCCTCTGTGGGGTACAGTTGAATAAGACTAAGAGAGTAAGCTCCTTCTCCTGGCCCAGCAGGCAGGGTTGGGAGGCTGGAAAAGATAAGGCAATGAATAAGGTTACCTCAGGGACAAGGCCATAAAATCAACCACCATGACCAGAAAAACCAGCCCAGCTCCGAGAATGCAGAAGCAGAGGCCAGAGTGTGTTTCTGTGTCCAGCTCTGGAAAGCAGACACCCCAGCACATAACTGGGCACACTGGCGCCCCAGGTCAGGAGGCCTGAGACAACAGAGTATAAAGAGAGCCTCAGATCCTCCTCAGGGCACAGACCTCTCCCTTCTCACCTGCTGCTGCTTTTAGCAGTGTATTTCAGTAAATCCTCCCATCCTCCATTCTGTCTCTGGTGAACTCTTTCACCCCCTGCACCTCCGACTTCTACCTGATCTTCTCCCCACAGCATCCTCCAAAGGTGCAGGTGGGGCCTGCTGCCCTTGGAAAGGCCTGTTCACAGCCCCCCTAGTTTAAGAAATAGTATCACCCTAGATTAATAAATAGTACCCTGAACCAGGCCCAGGAAAGGTAGTGACTAATGTTTGTTTTCTTAAGCAGGAAGTTCAGGATAAAAATGTCTATTCTCATGTCTGTAGGGTAGAAGGGAGGGGAAGGGGAAGGGAGCGCTTCCCACACAGAGGTAGACCTCAGCAGAAGAAGGTGTTTGAGACTCAGAGGAGTATACATGTTAGGGGGAAAAGGCTGTCCTAAAGCTAATTCCATACAGGCTCTGTGGACTCCACGTCCACCCCAGGCCAAAGCCAAAGACACTGGGAACTCCACATCCCATCATCACCAAAGGGAAGGTAGCTGGGACCTGAGGGTGGGGTTAAGCAGCCAGGTTTGGTATAAAACCAGACAAGTGGGCTTTGGGGGATTCCCTTTTTTTGGCTCTCCACCAGCTCACAGCGCTCGGCCAGCTCTTGGAGCGCCTTTGGGTTTCCAGGTTGGCGGATTGGGTAGGACGCATTAAAGACTTTATTTCCCTATTTTCTCCCTGAGTTGTACATTTCCTTAATTCCCTTTCCCTTGTAAATAAACCTTTTATGAACCTTCTGTATGTGCCTGCAGTGGAGTATTCATAAGTCCCTTGTAAGCGCGGGTGAGGACCCACAGCCAGGAACCCGTTTTTATATCGGGGCTGCTCCGTAACATACAGATGTTAATGAACCAACACATTCGTAATTCATTATATTTGTAATTATTAAGCATTTCTTGTTTATAAATATATGTACAGTCAGAAGATTCTCTTAATGACTTACAGGGTATCGCACAGCGAAAATAGAATCCTGATGGCGATGATTCTAATGGAGGGTGCGCTTGGCTGATAATCGTGTGTTGGGTCAGATTGTTCATTCTCCAAGAATTGGTAAAGTGAATCGTTGCCTTTGACCAGCTGTCATTTTGGTAGGAAAAAGTCCTTTCCCACGTTTTCTCCACAATGAATTAAACTGACTAATGAAGTAAACACAATAAATTAAACACAGTGAATTAAACTAACACTGAGAGTGTTAGTGTTAAATTTATCTGCAGCCCCCGAGACTTACCTTTCTTATTGGACTGCATTGAGTTGGGTTCCAATCTCATCTTCATAGACTCTTTGGGCTAGACATTTAAGGTCTTACTTCCCAAGGTCTGTGATATGGGGCACAGGGAGAGCTGGTAGACAGTTCACAGAAAGCTTTGGGTGTCTGGCTCGCTGCTGTGTTTGGAGGCCAGGTTGCTGGTAGTGTGTGGCAGGATAAGTGAGGTGAGGTTGTCAGGGTTCTGAATATATTTTGAAGGTAGAGTCAAGAAGGTTTCCTTGTGTCTGTGGGCCATGATCAAAAAGCGGAGCCAAGGGTATCTCCAAAGTTCCTGGCCTGAGAAGTCAGGGCCACCAAAATGGAAATGTTGCTGGTGTGTGTGGGGGGAGAAGGTTTGTAGCTCAGCTTTAATATGTTCAATCTGACGTTTCTACTCATTTTCTATCATATCCTGGTGACAGTCTTAGCTGAATGACCTCAGGGCAGTTCAGCAGGCAAAGGAGTGTCATTGTCCGCCTTGCCTGAGTTTTGCTTCCCTGGTTTCAGTTACCTGTGCTCAACCACGGTCCAGAAATATTACACATGGTAAAATGTTTTGAGAGAGACATTCCCATTAATAGTATATTGTTATCATTGCTCTTTATTTTTATTAATTTCTTAATGTAACTAATTTATAAATTAAACTTTATCACAGGTTTGCATGGATAGGGAAAAGCATAGTATGTGTATCTAAGGGTTCAGTGCTGTCTGGTTTCAGGTGTCCACTGGAGATTGCGGGACACATCCCCCAGGGATAAGTGGGGACTGCTGTTGTGAAAGGTGTGGGTAGATCTGGACACCATTGTCAGCGTCTTCACTCGGTGGTTGGCACTTTGGCAAGACACCTGATCTGGTGAGTTTCTGCTTAATGATCTGTAAAATGCACATAGAGATTATCTACAATGATATCTGTTTTTGTGAGAGCAAAATGAAATATCATAAGTGAAACCACTGGCACATAGTATATTATAAATAAATCTTGCCTATTACTGTTATAGTTATTATAATTATTAGTATCAAAAAATAGAACTTTTGGTCCATGCATGGTGAATCATGACTTTTCAAATGACTTTCTGAGCTCTGCTCCCACGCTTGCCCCTGGCTCTAGACACCAGAGCAACACACCCTGTGCCTGCCTCCCTCACTGCCTTCGTCAGTAGGGTCTGTTGTTGCTCCTCTTTCCATCCAGAGTTACCTGCCCTTGATGTAATGCCAGGACCTAAGGCCCAGATTCTTTCCTGGCAGCTGTTTAATCCAACACAGACTGGTACCTGACAGAGAAAACACACCTTCATATGCATCTGTCTGTAACATTTATCCGTGTCAGTCATGCTTATATAAAAGTCAGCTTCTCAAGGTGCTCGAAGGGAGAGTTCTGCATTTCTAGTCTGCCTTTTGCCTGGAGTCTCAAAAGAAATGATTGTCTCCTCAGAAGAATTTACATAAACCTGTCATTCATTTATTCCCCCGCCCTCCCTTTCCTGTGTAAGACTTTATTGCAACAAGCCAAGGGAGTTTTGTGCTCCACTTCCATGGTAAGTCACACCTGAGACCATGAAGGGCCCTGAAGTACACGAATCTTCCCCTACCAAAACAAGCAGGAACATGGAATGCCCTGGAAAATAGTCAAACCAATTAAATGGCAAAAACAGGAACTCTTTTCCATTTGAGGTTCAGATTTCTTCATCTGAATTTTTACTTTGGAAAGTAAAACCAGAATCAAATATTTTGTAAGTGGAAAAGAGATGACAGTCAATTTGGTTTTGGCATTCGTGTGCTCTTGTTTACTTTTTTTGGAATTTGAAATATTGATGGCATTTCTTAGAATGTGGGGTAATAAAAATGTCCAGTAAAGTCACTAGGATCAGCAGAAGAAGTAATGAAGCAGGAGAACTATTGCATGATATAATCACATGCTCATTTGATGTGGTAAAAGGAGAGATTATATTATGATAGAAATTAGTAAAAAAAAAATTAGAAAAGATCAGAGAAATAAGAGAGATTCATTCTGACACCACAGGAACACAGGGAATCAAAGGAGCTCATACCTTCACTTTTGTAAATAATGCTGCAGCGAACACGGGAAGGCAGGAACATTTTGAGTTAGTGTTTTATTTCCTCCAGATAAATAAATACGTAGGAAGTGGAATTGCTAGATCATGTGGTAGTTCAGTTTTTCATGTTTTGACCAACTTCCAGATCCCGTTCTGTAACAGCCACACCATTTTGCATTTCTGCCAACAGTGGCCGGGCGCCCTTTTCTCCACATCCTCAACAACAGTTGTCATTTCTTATCTTTCTGCTCATGGCCCTGATATCTCCTTGTGGGAGCAACTTGCATTTGCCTGATGATTAGCTATATTGGGCACCTTTTCATGTACCTGTTGGCCATCCTTATGTCTTCTTTAGAAAAGTGTCTATTGTGGTCTTTACCCTTTTTTTTGGCCATTGAGTTGTGTGAGATCTTCATATACTTTGGCTGTTAACCTCCTATCTGGTTACCTGGTTTACAAATTCTCTCCCCCATTCTATTGGTTGCCTTTTTGTTTTGTGATGGTTTCTTTGGCTGAACAGATGTTTTTTTAGTTTCATGTAATCCCACTTGCTTATTGTTGCCTTCCCTCTTTGTGCCAAATCCAAAATATCCTCACCAAGGCTGATGTCAAGGAACTTAGCACTGAAGTTTTTCAGCAAGGACTGTTGTGGTTTTAAGTCTTTAATCCATTTTCAGTTAATTTTTTTGTGGTATCAGTTAATTTTTTGTGTATGTCCAGTTTCAGTCTTATATTTGTAGCTTCCATATTTCCCACCACAATTTATTGAAGAGACTCTCCTTTCCCCATTGTATATTCTTGGATCCTTCCTTATAACTTAATTGACGTATGTGCCCGTGCTTACTTCAGGGCCCTCAGTGCTGCTCCATTGATCTACGTGACGTTTCAGTGCCGATAACCATCCTGTTTCTCCTACAGGTTTGTGATAGGATTTCACGTCAGGAAGGTCATTACCTCTACCTTTGTTCTTCTTTCTCACGGTGGCTTTGGCTATTCAGTGTCTTTGTGGTTCCACACATGATTTAGGATTGTTTGTTATATTTCTGTGAAAAAATATCTTTTCAAATTTTGGTAGGTTTTGCTCTGAACCTGCCATGTCGCTTTACTCAAAATGGCCCTTTTTTTTTCTTTAAAGATTTATTTATTTATTTATACAAACACTGGGTACAGTCAGAAGCGCGGGAGGGTGAGAGAATTCACCAGAGCCAGAGTGGGGAGCAGAATAGGCAGACTGATAAAGTACACTGCTGAGGGTAGCAGCGGGTGGCAGGAGAGGTCTGCGCGCCATGTGGGACCCTCGCCAACAGCCAGGGATTGAACCGGTGCTGCAGAGGCTGCGGGCAGCTTTGTAACCCAGCGCTTAACCACTGCGCCACTGGAGAGGCCCACAAAATGGCCCTTTTAACAATGATAATTCTGCTACATGAGCAGGGAAGCACTTGCTCATGTCTTCATGATCTTTTGTTCAATATGTTATCACTTTCAGGGTATAGATCCTTGACCTCGTTGGTTACTTAGGTATTTTACCCTTTGGGTGCTTTGTAAATGGGTTTGTTTCCTTCATTTCTCCTCCTCATAGTTTGTTACTAGTGTATAGAAATGCAACAGATTTTTGTATATCGATTCTGTTTCTCTACCTATACTGAATTCTTTTATCCTAGCAGGTTTTTTTTTTTTTTTTTTTTTTGTGTGTGTGAAATCTTTAGGGTTTTCTATAGCTAGTATTATCTGTAAATAGTGTAAATACTTCTTCCTTTCTGAAATGGTTGCCTTTATTATGTTGAATATGGCAAGAGTAAGCATCCTTATCCTGTTACTGATCTTATAGAAAAAGTGATTGGAGCACAGAGAATAGAGTGCCCACCAGCTTCTGTGACTGGAGAATATCTCAGTAGATCCTTAGCTGAGTATTAAATTAGATGCCAGCTCCTCAAACCAATGTTTTAAGATGCATAAGTAAACCTTTTTCACAGAAAGTCTTGGCAATTTTCAGTAGGCTGCCCCTGCACTGGCCCTGGGGTGTCTGAGTCTGTCACCCTTTAAGAACTACTTTTTAGCTTGTGGTAGCCTGTGGGACTCATGGATGCAAACCCTGTTGACTTTTGAAGCTAGATGTTTTGGGGGTTCATCTCAAATTTAGGTCTCAAATTTTGGGGTGCCATATGTGTCATTGAAATGTTCCTCAGGGAATAGCTCTGAGTTGTGAGTGTTCTGCTAAGCATGGGTCATCCTCCCAGGAGCGGGGTGGACAGTGAGGCCCCATCTTAACCTCTCCTCCTTGCTTCGCTGTGGGTTTTCTCCCCTCATTTTCCTGACGTATTGGAGTTTCTCAGCTAATACTGGTGGTTTTGCTCAGAGGAAATTATTCCATATTTAGCAATAGATTTGGTGTGTTTGGAGATTCTTTTTCATAGCAAGTGTAGGGGTCACTCAAATTTTGGGGTATTTTTCAGAGGAAACTGTTCCATTCTTCGCTATGGGTTTGGTAGTTTGTGGGAGGAGGTTAGTTTAGGATCCTCTTGAGTCACCCATGTCGAATGGGAACTGGTTTTGTTTTTAACCCCTGAATATCTGACAGTAACAAGGGAAGTTTCTGTGTCTTTAACTTTACCCTCTGTAGTCTAAATATTGCCTTTTCAAAAAATGACTTTTTAAAAATCATCTTCCTCCTATGTTCCTTGACATTTTTTATTTTATTCCAGTAACATTTGTGGTTTCACCAGAAAGAAGCAACCATGCGTTGATAAGTACTCTTCAGAACACACGAGGCAATTTTGCTGTCCAAAACTGAAACGACAGAATAATGTATTTCTCTTCTCTTCCTTCTTCATTGTGCGCGATTAGACAGGCATGAAAGGGTTCATGACAAAGGCAGTTATTTGTGTACAGTTATTATCTGTAGGTAATTCCCTTGGCCAGTTTCCTTTTCCTCTTCAGGTCGGGCGTCTGTTCATGATGCTCCGGTCAGGGGCGCAGGGGCTGCACTCTGTGGAGCTGCCTCAGTCACAGCTCACTGATGATTGTAGGTCCGAAGGTTGCCGGTCCGTCGTGATTGGGGGCATGCTACTAATGACATTTAGAATTCATGTGAACTTGACTCATTTCTTTCTGTTTTGTTGGTCTTGTGAGGAATTCAGCAAGTTATACATAAACCCACAAGCAGGACACATGGAAACCAGGGTTGTCTACACTTAGAATCTTCTCTTTAATGTTTGGCTTCCTGAGGGGTATAGTGGCATCACATTGTGGCTGTAATTTGCTTTTCCCTGATGACTTTTTTTTTTTTTTTTAAAGAAAAATCTTCCCACACAGAGGGTTTGCTTTGTTTCTATTACGCAGTTAGGGGTGGAACAGATTGTTTAGATTTACTCAGAGATTAAAACTGTTTCCAAACTGGGCTTCAGGGTTTGCATTAGTTTCTAATCCTTCCACCCTATTCCTAGAGTATGGCCCTTCAGAGCTGACAGTCTGGGTGTTAGCAGCCCCCAACTCCTTTTGGCCCCAAGTTCTGTTTTCTCATAGTCCCATGAGAAAACAACTGAAAACTGCTCAGTTTTCAGTCTCCAGCCATGCACTTGCAAGTCAGAAAAGGCTTCTAGAAAAAAAGGCACAGAGAGTGTAAAGACTGATTCTCTGCACCTGGCCTGCAGGTCCTCGCTGCTGGCTAGGGCAGTGATGCAGATTTTGTTCAGCTTTGGTTTGTTACTAAGCCTGTCTAGTTGTTTTTGGGAGAAGTACTGACCTTCAGCCATCTGACTTACAATTACCAGAAGCATCTGGTGAGGTATTTTGGATTGTT